CTGGCTGGCCGCCGCGGCCTTATGGGCTGCTGCTCTGCGTCTGCGCCGCTTTCCCCGGCGTTTTGAGGTCTTGAAATTCACCTTATGCCTGTGCTTGTGGTTTAATACATTGATTGATTCCTGCATCCTTACGTAACTTAACCGGGGTGTAAGTAGGCACAAGAAGATCAGTCAAAGATGAAGAAACTCTATGCTTTGTCTCGTGTCATTCCGAATGCATTCAGTGCGGTCCTGGGTGTGATCACACTGCTCAGACTTAAGAAATCCACTGAACTTTAAGGCTGCTTGAAGTATCGGTTTGGAGTCCTCCCTGCCTTCTCTTCTAGAACTAAAGGGACAATGTCACCATCAGATCTGCCTCATAGCAGACAACAGAAAGGGTGAACTAGGTTGTGAGGAAATTCTTGTCAGCTAGGTGAATCTACTGAGACTTAGGTGTTACAGCCTCATGCAAGTACTAAGAATCCCAGAAGATGGAAAATAATTCTTAATTTAAGCTTGAATCTGCAGGAGTTATGGCTGGATTGGAACAGGAGGAACCACTTGCTGCCTAGTGGGTCACTGTGGTTTTGGTGAACACGGATTTGTATTTTTAGTGGGTGTGTTGGCATTCCTCTTACTCCTTTACCTCTGCAGACTGCCACAGTGTGCAGCTTTTCTGCTCTGGATCCCCAGCAGCAAGTTTAACCTGTATTAGCTTCTTTCTAAAAGAAACCTTCTTACTAAAGTAGGTAACTGAGCATAAAATATGTATTAGCTTCACCTAAGTAGTTTTTTCTCCAAATACTTCTTCCCATCTCTGTGGTATCTCCATTTTGCTGGTTGAGCGCAGATTTGAATTTTCCCGTACATGGTATCCAGCTGCCTGGTCCCTCTGAATACATCTAGAGAGTTGGAAGATTTATATGGTGTTGTGCCAGAGCTCTTTGTTCTACCTTGCTCAAAAGAAAAGGGTTGTTGAGATGTTGGGCATCTTTAAAACCGCCTCAGAATGGGGGAGATTATTCAGTCTTACAGCTAAGTTGCTTTCAAAGAAAGGAGTATGGTTTGCTTGCTTGACACAGCAACTTTCTTTTCAGCTAGAGCCAAGCACAGCATTGTACTGAATTCAGTACTGAAACATGCACAGAGTGGGAAGAAACCTAAAAATATAACTGTTATTCTTCACACAAGGAATGGTTTGTTACAGGAACTTTACAATGGTAAAAAGAAAAAAATCCCTCATGTTGTGAAAATGACTTACATCCATGCCATCAGAAATGTTAGGAGGCTTCTTTGTGCATCAATCTTGCATGTGAAGAACACAGTTTAGGTCAGAAGGGACCTCTGAAGTTTCTTCGGTCAAATCCCACTTAAAGCAGGGCTAATTTTAGAGATCCGTCAGGATGCTGTATTTTGTAATCTTTAATGGTATTTAAAAGCTCATGAAATCTTGATGAGCATGTTACCAGGTTACTGTAAATGTTCTTTATAGGACTTAGATTACAAAGATATTTGTAATCACATGACTCATTTTTGGGGGGAATGTCTCATAAAAAAATATCAGCTCAACTTGTTTGGGACATGCAAGTTGTGACAAAGCTCTCAAAGATTTTTAGGCTTGGTATGCAGTGACTTTGGGGGGATGGGAGTTGGAAAGAAGGAAAGAATAAGGAATGGTCAAAGTTATTTTAGATTAGATATATGTGCTACTGCAGTCCAGCTTATGAGTGTCCCCACTGTTCCCACATCTGCTCAGCTGTCTTTTAAGGAAAAGTATGTAAGTAAATCTGTGTACTACCCCGAGTTTTACTGACAACTCAAAAACACAGACTTTCCTTCTTTTTTTTTTTTTTTTTTTTTGACACAGCTGCAATGGGTTGTGTTTACACTGCTAAAATAAATGTTTAAGGATAGCTATCCTCTTAATGACAATTTTTTCTTTGGTTGTGGGTGGGAGGGAAATGAGACATGTAGAAAACCATGTTTTAGCTGGTCTTCTTGACACAAAGTGAAGACCATCAACTGGCGCTTATAACAGGATTAAGACTAAGCTTGTTTAAATTCTGGTTAGCTGAGTCCTGACCGACCATAAAGTAACTCACTGTTATCTTGGACATCTCAGATCTCTTGTGGTCACACAAAAACACACAAAAAGATGTTTTCCCCTTTTTCTTTGGCCTCTGCTCTCTGTAAAGAGAAGTGCTCATTCCTTCCGGAGGCTTTAGCAGAATTGAGAGCTTGCAGCTCTGATAGTTCAGAGAAAATGATGCTCTTTCGTGAATGGATGTTGCCACTAAAGCAGGTAACTGAGCATGTAAACGCTAGGTTAATTCACCATACAGCCTCTATATTGAAACTTTTTTCTCACATTGGCTTTTTAACTGTTTCCGAGGTTGGTTGTATTGTTTTGGCATGCAGTGTCATGGGCGGGTGTGTTAGAATTAGAACAGGCTGAACCGTAAGGAAAATACTGCTTGCAAAAATGCACAGTTCCACAGAAAAGCGCAGTTTAACATGCAGATCTTAACGTTCAGTGATGCGTTCCCAGCTTTCTGTAACTCCTGTTCCCTGTACCCACCCACCCACCCATAAAGAGGGTAACCATGTGTTCAGTTTTAAGGAAAAAGATGAATGATTAAGATACCTTTAAAACAGTCTTGCTGTGGATTGGAGAGCTGTTCTTTCCTAACTGCCGCAGGGTGACTGTGGCACATTCAGCTCAAAGAGTGGAGAGTCAGGTCCTGGCCACAGGGCAAAGGCTCCAGAGCTGGACTCCTGCCTAGTCCTGCCCACTTGCCACACGTGATATCTCAGTTTGTCTTCTCTCCTGCCAGTACTCGCATTCACAGGGAGAGCTGGTGGTGGCTGATGCTGGTGCAAGCTGCATGGGTTCTGGTGAGTGCGTGCACCTAAATGATAAAGGCTTACAGGATGCTCTGTTGTATCTTCTTGTTGTGGATTGTCGTTTGATGTTTAAAAACTCGTAGAGTTTGATCACAAGGCAGTAGTGTTTGTTTTTTTTAAGGTGGGGTGGAGGGTTGTAAAGTTAATATAAGCTTTACATTTCCTTAATAAACAGCAGCTAAACAGAAATGAGGCTGCTATTTGCAAACGTGCAGTTGTTTTCCATTTAGTCTCTTCACTTGGGGTTCAGTGATGTAGATGTGTTAGGGCTCAGCCTGTCTTGTTAGCAGATGTTTTAACAGTCCTGGCTGATGCTTCCCATACGTGTTGTTCAAAGTGGCTTGCTATGGTGTTTACTTAGCAGGGAAGGAATTTCAGTATCATGTAGAGCTGCTTCAACCATTCCCCCTATGTATTTCAATAGCAAAATACTCACTTATTTGAATAGGGTTGGGGTTTTTTGTTACTGAGTAGAAACCAAAGCATTCAGCCAAACTAAAGAGGTGTGTTAACTAAGCTTAATGATCTCCTTTCTCTATCAACTACAACTGAGTGGAAGTTGGCTTTTAGCGATGCTAATAATGCCAACAAAATAAAAAGGTATGTGCGAAATACTTATTAATCAATTGCTACACATTTGACAACATTTTTGTACACAAATGGCATGCACAAGGGATTAATACTTGTTTTTTACATGCACACACCCCCTTTCCTCTTGTAACAAAGAATTAAGAAAAAAACAGTTCTTGACCCAGTAAGATTCACGTCCAAAGAAGAGTTGGATAATCAGACTCTGGGAGGGAGGAGGGCTACATAGCCTTTTGGGTATGCCACAGAATCTTTTCAGTCTTTACACGAGATATTGCTGCATTACAGCAGTACATTTTGAGTTACATTTTCGTCTTTCCAAAGTCTGGGGTCAGGATGGTCTTTGATATCAGTCAGGGGCAGATATAAAAAAAATTGTTATTACAGTAGGACTTTAGGTTTGAAGAAAGTATGTAGAGAAAGCAGATACGGTCAAGGAAGCTTTCCCTTGGTTAGAAACAAGTGGTGGAGTGGGGTAGAATCTGTTCTCTTATCTACTTTATGTTTGTGTAAACCGGCCTTGTTTCCTGCTAGGGACCATGGCTTACTCACATTTCTAGATAATGTGATACTGTCTTCCTTGGAACCAAGTATGCTGGTAAAAGAACAAAGTGGTCTTTTTTCGAAATGTTTCTAGCTATTTCTGCAGGAAGGCAGTTGGTTGTATTTGTTTATCAGTAGTACTCTGGAGCCAGTTTGAACGATGGAAAGGGATTTTCTTCCAGAAAATTCTGGACACAAAAGTGAGGAGCTACTCCTAGTTTCTGAATTCTAGCAACAGCTAGCTGTGGAGGTAAAGATTATATGTGTCTCTGGTTTATTGCCAGTCACAGTTCCAATGTATTTTCCTATATTTATGAGGGGAAAACCCCTTTCCTATACAAAAGTATATACAGACATCAATATTTACCAAAAGTCTATCAGGGAATAGAGTTTTGCAGATGTCTCTGGAAAAAAATGTGATTATCCATATTGTGTAATACTAAAGTTGTGTGACTGCAATTCTACAGCCCTTTGTAACACATAACTGTTGGGATGTAAGTGTGAAGTGACTCCTTGTACTGCCAAAACTCGGATGACTCTTGTACCAGTTACAGCTCAGAGCTGAATCTTGAATTTTGTCCATGACACAGGGCTAAATGTGCTTTCCCAAATCCTCATAATTGATATAGCCTCACTGGAAGGAGGCTGTCAGCCCCTGCCAGCCTTGTGAAACTTGCAAGGGTGAGGATTGGGCTGGGGGGGATTTGTGGATGGATGGTGGTTAAGTAAAATTGCCACCAAATTAGTCACTGGTAACAAGCAGCAGTGTTTGTACTGTAAGACTTAAGCATGCATATTTAATGGCTTCGATTGTAATGTTACCACTTCTAAGCGAAGTTGTTTGTTCCTGATGTCATTTCTGTTTTAGCAAGAGTGGGAATTGGTCAGCATATGGAAGACGCTGTCCAGGGCATGTTTGTAACGTTGGAGCACTGTGTCTAATAAAATGGTTGCAAGACTATGTATTTCCGTCTGCAGGCATGACTGATGAGCTCTAATTTTGGCTCGATGCCTGCTTTGGTTCTAGGGTGAAATTGTAAGTAACAGGAAAGGTTACCAGTTATGGTGAACCAGATATTTTGTTTGTTTTTTTTTTAAAGTCTTCTGTGGCGTATTTGTAAAGTTCATTGTTTAATATAGATTGGGGGGCGTGTGTGAACATTTAATCTACAAATACTTCTTTTCTTGTAAGATACCACTGTCTTAGTGTAATAATTTAAGTTACTCGGTAAAATCTTGTGAGATGGTCTGTGGTCTCATTGCAAGGGAAGTTGGCCTAGATGACCTTTGAAGGTCCTTTCCAACCCAAACTATGATTCTGTGGTTTATGACACACATATACTTCAGTCATCTTTCTCCTCATTGCATTTGATCACTTTAATCATGAATGTTTCTATCAGTCTGGTAGCAGGAAAAGGTAAGAATATCTTGTTAATAGTTTTGATGTGGGTCAGGCACAGAACTAGAATGTAATCTTGCTCTTCTAAAATCCAGTTCAGTGCAGTCATGTACAGATCATCTCCAGTCAAACCAAAAATATCAGTGTGAGCTTTTAGTTGTTGTTTTAATCCAGTTGCTCTTTGTCTGGCATCATCGATGTCCAGTGTTAGAGCTCCTTTCTTCTTTCTCTTTCCAGAAATGTCCTTCCTGCCTGACTTGGGAATCTTCACGATGGGCATGTGGTCTATTGGTCTTGGAGCTCTTGGTGCAGCTGTGACAGGGATTGTCCTTGCTAACACTGATTTATTTTTGTCCAAGCCAGAAAAAGCTACGTTGGAGTTTTTAGAGGAGATAGAGCTAAAAACTTTGGGATCAGGTAAGATTCTGGATGTTTCAGCCCACATTCTTTTATAATTGGGATTTTATAAGAAACTTTGTAAGGCCAGGGATGGAAGAGTTTTTCTTAGTCTTTCGTCATTATGACACGTAGTTGAGTTTCCTTGGTGGCTGATAATTCTGGTGAAAGAAAAGCAACCAAAACTGTTACTTCTGGATGAAATATGATATGCTTCTAAAAATCAATACAACAATAACACCCTGTTATGCATACAGATTTTTTTTTCTTCTGCTAGAACTGTGTTTTAATGTGGAGTTCCCTGCAGTGCTCTTTGTTGGTCCTTAAGGCATTAGTTGTTATAAGCAAGAATGGCTGATATTATTGTTGATGCTGTTTCTCCTGTACACACAGAACAAAGGACATTCAAAGCAGGTGAACTATGGAAGAAAAATGGTGCAGTGATCATGGCTGTGCGAAGACCTGGATGTTTTTTGTGCAGAGAGGTAATTGCTAGGCTGAGGGATTAATTAGGAAGAGTTGAGCTCTACTTGCATAGATACCTTTAAGTAAAGTGAGAGTGTGAATAAGACAGTCATCACATGCATATGAATTATCTGAAAGGGCTTGTTTCCTAGCCCAAACTGGTCACCAGCTAACAGCCTATTTAGTTTTCTTTGCAGCTGATTTGTATAGCCTAGATCCTGAGCATTTTCCTTTCTGAAGGCAATGGCTACAGCATTTTTACATCTGTCAGGGACCTAGCCCATGGTAATTAGAAAGGGAGATTACACAAAATCCAGCTGGTAATGAGTTTTACGAGCTAGTTGTATTCCCCATGTGCAAAATAAACCTCTATGAGCCAGGTAGTCTCTGGTCAAAAGCAGCACAAGACTAGACTGTCAAAAAGCCATCAGATAAAGCTCATCAGCAAAAAAGATGTTCGTAAAAGGCGAGTCCCTCACTGTTCTGGGTGCTGAACGTGAGGCAGGAAGGTGAGGAGTCTGAAGACAAGGAGTTACTGTTCCATAACAAGGAGGATTTGGAAAAAAAATTTGATCCTTAAGCTGGCATTAGGCTCCTTGGGTGGAGGTGGGAGGAGACACTTAAAATATGATTTGAATGTACTGGGTGCCTGGGAAGGGCCATAACTTGCACCTTGGCCAGTATTTTTCTCATAGTTATGGGGAAAAATAGGTACGACATTGTTACTCACTATAACAGAGTAATTAATATTGCAACCACTTAATTAAGGGATCTACTCCTATCAGTGGGAACTGCTTAAGTACATGTGCAATTTGTGGATGGTTAAATATTAAAGTCCTTTGCTCTCAGAACAGGTGTAGGGTAGGCTGGGGGAGAATGCACTACGTGCCTGGCTGTGCCTTTCGCATACAGACAGGAATTCATTAAGGATTTAATTTTTTTTTTTTTTAATGCTGACTTCCTAAGTAGAAATAAAGAGTTCAATTCAAGGAAATGTGGGTTGTTTTGGGTTTTTTTTTCAGGAAAAAATTGAGAGAAATTTAATTTTTCTAGTTCTTAATTTTGGTTCAAAACTTCAGTCACACTACTGATAAGCTGATTAGGGAAAATAATAGTATTTTAATTGTAAAAGTGTTTGAAAAAGCTTTTAAATTGCCTAATCTCATAGTCTTGATCCGGCCATGCAGTGATCCAGTGATTGTGGAAGTGCTGTGGGCTTGCTGAATATTGCAGGTATCAACTCAAGCAGTCTAAAGTAGCAGAAGAGCCGTAGTTAAAAACTATTAGAAGGACCATCTGAAATGGGAATTGTTCTTTTGGGTTGCCCCCGCCTTAGTGGAGAGATGAACTATTCTGCTAGGGTGTGCTTGTCCACTTTTTACAAAAGCAAGAAAACAGTTTCACAGACCAGATGATATGGTCGCAGCCCCATGGTGAGGCTGTACAGCTGTTACGTGATACTTTCCCACAAAAATAGACTTCTTTGCTTTCTCTTCTTGTATAATTTTTAAATAGCAGTAAAGAAAACCAAATCAGGTCTAGTCCCAAGATGCTGCTTGAAGTTTAATCTCTTGAGAATTGAAAAACTTAAGTATGCTTTTACATCATGCCTGCTCTCTCCCCTACCAAAAGCCAAGGAGATACCCTGCCAAACTGCTGAAGTGTCTCTCTCTGAAAGGCTAATCAAGATTTGATGGTATTGCTCTCTCTCCAGAGACAGTCATTTTGGGGCATCCCTGCACTAGCCTGGAACATCAGTTCTCAGACACGTTAGGCCACAATACAGATCTTTTTTGTTTTGTTGGTTACAAGATTTTTGAACTATATAAAAAATCCCAGACAAAATTGTTCTATTGTTACTAACTCCCCTTTTAGGAAGATCATAAGTCATTTTGTTAAGGGAAATCAGAAAATTATTGCCAGATCTCTAAGAACAGAAAAGAGGGAGAAGATCTAACAAGCGTAAGCTATGATCCTTTAATTCTCACCACTCACTACTCTGTTTGCTTGTGATGCTGATCAATGCTTATTAATTTCCTCTGAAAAGACAGAGTAGTGAACTGCAAAGCTGCCCTTACCCTTTCACCTACTGATGTCTTTCTTTAATGTCTTTTCTCCTGTCTGACTCCTACTTGGTAAATTCTAGATGTCCTGTGAGCCTTTAAGACATTTTGGTTAGGTGGCTGAGGGCGTTCATGTAAACTGTGTCCATTTCTTAAAGTGTGCTTTGTGGGAGTTTTGTCCAGTAAAAATGACCTTTCTCAATTGTAGGTCATGGAACAGTTTGGGTTGGAAGGCACTTTAAAGATCATCTAGTTCCATCCACCCCCCGCCACAGGCAGGGGCACCTTCTACTACGTGAGATGAAACAAATTTATAATGTGCACTCTTATCTGTTGGAAACCTGAGAGGTCTTTGTACAAACTGTGGGAGCTGGGATTCCTTCAGCAGAACAAAAAGTCCAGCAGATGAGTGGTGACACCTTGCATTCCCGCACATCAGAAAAAGCAGTATTGCTTCTGGGATGCTGAAGGTGTATGAAGAAATTCCCTGATTATTTTCACTGGGGGCATCTAGAAAGGAGAGTGCATCTTTACTCCATTACTTATTGTGCACTTGTGTAGCCTGCTCCTGCAGAGCCCTCATAATAGTTTGCAAAGGGGTCTGACAACGATGGCGTTCTATTTGGAAAAAAGGATTGGAACTTCTGTCCTAGGAAGGTGTATGTAGGTAGTGATGTGTAGGCAGTATGTTTTTAATGTTCTCTAAACACTTGAAAAGATAGTTGAGTCCTAGCACAGGCAAGGTATACCTACAGCTTTGAGTTAGAAGTATGTTTTCTCCAGGATTTTAGTATTTTATCCAGTAAATGCTCAAAAAAATCTCCTTCCTCCATGCTTACTGAAGAAAATATTAGTAAATCTAATGAAGACCTGCCTATGAGTAAAGCTAGCTTAAAAGTCTGATTTACAGGTCTCTCTCTGTTTTGTTAGAATTTACATATGCTTCTGATGTTCTTGAAATTCAAGGTGAAGCTTTCAACTTCCATTTATTATCTGAAATATTTGGGTTTTTTTCCTTTCTTAGGAGGCTTCTGAGCTCTCCTCTCTGAAACCCCAGCTGTCGAAACTGGGTGTCCCTCTCTATGCTGTTGTGAAAGAGAAGATAGGGACTGAAGTGGAGGATTTTCAACCTTATTTCAAAGGAGAAATCTTTCTGGATGGAAAGGTATAGTGAAGTTGGTGTTCTCCTTTTGTTTAAAAACAAATTTATGAATGTCCTTTTTGAAGAGGTTGTATAAATAATAGAGATGGAATGTGGTCTGAATGAGAAAAGATTGAGTAGCATTATAGTTTAAGAAGTTAATTAGCTTTGCTTTTCTATATATATATCCCACTCAGCTTACAAACTGATCTGTAGCTATGCACCTACAACATGCTTTTGCAGGATTATTCCTCCCCTCCCCTTTAACAGGTAAACAAAATGGCATATTATTTATTTCTTTCTTCCACTGGCAGTGTGACATTTCTGATGTATGAATCAAGGTCTGAACATGATAGACATAATTAGTTCCTGATACACAGGCCAAATTGCAGTGATATAGCTTGTCCCAGTACACCGGCACATGCTCTATTGCTAGTATCATGTCCTTCAAAAGTACGGCCCTGCTTACTCCTTAACCCAGAAGATGAATTTAGAATCATTTGGCTTCTTCCCTCCGCATTCTGCCTGTGTGAAAGAATCAGGCTGATTTAAAAAAACAACCAACCAACCAAACCCACAGCCCCGACAAAACAGAAGCTGATGGAAGTTTCAGGACTTGTATCTCTACCAGGATTTTTATTGTTATACTTCAAAAATAAGAAAAAAGATGTTTATCACAAAGCGCCCTTGTTGTCAGCAATAGGGATGTAGATATACATAGGGCTTAAATATATGTGGATCAGCTTAAAATCCAGATGAACAGTGGCAGTACCACTAGTTGTCCATGTGGAGGTAAGTGGTGAGGTAGTGCGTTCAAGAGGTTAATTCAGGTGCAATTTCCTTTTAGCTGTGCGTGGTTAGCTGTTGTGTGTTGTGACCTTTCTTGGATACAGGGTTGGTTGGTTTCCTGAATTTCATTTGGGAGGAAAAGTTCTTTTCACTTTGTTTGCTGGGATATGTTCTGTTTCCCTGCAGAAAGGCTTCTATGGACCACGCAGACGAAAAATGATGCTATCGGGCTTCTTCCGCTATGGAGTCTGGCAAAATTTCTTTCGTGCTTGGAAAAGTGGATATAGTGGTAACCTGGAAGGAGAAGGATTCACCCTGGGAGGAGTATATGTGATTGGGGCAGGAAGACAGGTACTACAGGCCATCTCCCAAGGCTTTTATGTCTCTTGTGAGACTGAAAGTTTCTTCTTTGGATTTGTTCAGTTGCTAGTCAGTTGATCTGCTGTGGGGAGACTAGTGTATGAATTTTTCTTTTGTGTCTTTGACTAGGGTGTTTTACTGGAGCATCGTGAGAAAGAATTTGGAGACAAAGTCAACCTTCCATCTGTCCTTGAAGCTGCTGAGAAGATAAAACCCCAGCCTTCATAAGTGGGAAAAATAGTTGCACATTTTCTGACCACAGCTCGAAATGTAGAATGCATCTATTTCTTGAACATTACAGTTAATTGCTTTTTAACTATTCAGTGATCAACGCAGAGGAAAGATTCTGTATTCAAACATAGAAAATCATGAAAATCCTCCTGGATCTTCTTTTGTTGCTTTGCAGCCTTTCAAGTGGTCAGGATTTCAACTGCTTTTTTGTGCCTGACTGTATTAACGAAAGGCTGGTTCTAAAATCTGTCCTAGTATAGGTGTTTCCAGTCAGTCAGTTGAAAACCTGCCTACCTAAGGGAGCAGATCTTTGCTAAGGCTGAAGTAATGGAGTACCAGCTGAGGTTGAAGGATAATAAAACTTTATATAAATTAAATGCCTTTGCTTTTTGCTTTTTTCATTAACTTGTAACCAGATATGTGTTTCTAGAAGACTAAATCGTGTCAGTCTATATTATTCTAAGATTCTGCATTCTATATTATTCTAAGATGCGGCTATGTCTACCCAGTAGGTTTCTTGTTAACTGCTGGTTCTACATCTTCCAGCTCTTTGTGTGATTTCCTGCAAAGAAGATTGAAGACATCTGTTCACTTCAGAAGATAATTGCGGCATGAGCACAAGTTCCTTCTTGTGTTTTAAGATTCTTAAAAAAAAGAGGGAACAATATCAGAGAGCAGATTAGGTAGATCCTGGCTTGAATTCTGTAGTAGAATGACTGGGCTATTAACTCCTAAAAATAGATGCGGTGTTGCACAATATGGTTCATGAGAGCCAGTACCATGCGTAGCCAAATATACGCACCTGGCTGAAGCATGTACAGGGCAGCATGAATTTTCCAAATGTGCTGATGTTTCAAAGTCTAAACAAAACTTTAACATTGCACTTAGAGGATTATTAAGTGTTGTGTATCTTTCATTAGCTGGTGTATGTAAGAGGCTAGGTAACTTCTGAAAATATATGGGCTGGAACATACTAAACTAGCAGAAGTATTAAAGGGAAGGATTCTTCTGTCCTGGCAGCAGGTGAGTCTGAATTGTCGTTCTGCTTTCTTCTGACCTTAATGAAACCTTCATGTATCATTGGTGCTGAGGGCAGGGATACTTCACACCTCTGAAACTTCCGTAATATGCCTGTATTTGCTCTGTGTGCCCATGCCTGTCCATCTGTATTGTTGAGCTGTGTGCAAAACAATGGTCATATGTGATGCTGACTGTACGAAACCTAAATGCTAGAAACTCTAGAACTTCACAAGCACTGAGGCCTGGCCTTGGTCTTTGTTAAATCAGTTATGCAGGGTTTAAAATTGCATCATTATGGATGAAATCCTGACATACTATTAATGTCCAAGCAGAACTAATTTTAACTAAAAATACTGATTTTTAGTTAGAAAGTTTAACTAAAAATACTGATTTTTCAAAGTTTGTTCTTCACAGTTCCCTAAAACAACACTAGCAGTGAGGATTTTGAGTGACTTATATGCACTAAGATGTTTAATTTGAAAACAATGGAAATTGGACTTGTGCTATTATGAGGTGAAATTTGTGTTTCACTGTCGTGGGGGATGGAGGAGGGAGCAGGATTTTGGAGAGTTGAGCAGCAAAGTTGACAACAAACTGACTACATGATTCAGACTTTATAAAGGCTCTCCTAGGAGTCGTGGCCAGGTGCAGAGAACCATGTATTGACTCTGTCCATGTTCTGAGCTGCTTTTTTAAGTATGCCCATAAGATGATGTCAAAAAGCTGTTGGGTACTAGAAAACATAAAATGGCTGACTGGAGGTGGGCTCCTCTGAATGGCATCCAGAGCAGCCATGAAGCTGCCAAAAGTTGTGCTTGAGGGCTTTTTTGTCCTGGGTTTTAGCACTGAAAGGAAGTACCTGTATCATAAGTGCTTGCCTGACACAGGGCACCTAAAACTTTACAAACCCACAAAGTTCAAAGCATTGTGTAAGTGTCCACTTGTCTGCAGTAGGCGTATTGTTACTCTGGAGTGCAATAGGAAACAGATGCTAAAAGAAATGGGTGTGAGCTACTGTTTCTCAGTTGCAAGATGCAATTAATAACAAAAATCTTACTTACAGCAGAAGATTCCTGGATCATGGCTCCTATAGAGTTTTGAGTTTTCTTTCCAGTGGGAACTGGAAAGCTTTGCCGTTTACAAAGAACAGATCTTGCACAAAGAAAGGCAAAGAAGTGACTGATCTTAGACTTGGATTGCAGGCCTTGTTCCAAGGGCTGTTTATGCCTTTCACATAGACATGAAATGTGAAAGACATAAACAGTCCTTGGAGAATGGGATGGAAGCCAGATAAATTCCAAGGAATTCAAGATAAATTGAAGTGCATTGAGAACCTGCTAAATCTGGAGAGCATCTATTTACAATCTTGTGTACGTGCAATTGAATTCCAACCAGTCTAACAAAACTGGCCACCAGTTCTGTCAGTCAGACCACAGAAAGTCCGACATGATGACAAGGATGCTACACAGGGTTGCAGCTCTTTAGCCCACCCAAAGGGACTGTGTTCTATGATCCTGGAAACAGAAGCGGGAAGCCATCATGTCCAGCATTTAGAATGTTTAGCTGAAGTATAACGGCTGTTAAACATACAAATCACTAATGCTACAACTTCTTCTAGTGCAGAAACAGTTTTTGAAAGAACCATGAAGTCCTTTTGAGGATGTTTATTAAAATACAGAGACTGAAAGTTCTCTGCTCTGTCAGTTTCAGCAAAGGCATGTGTACTGTAACCATGTTAGACCCAGATTTGGGAGAGTGTTTTCTTACTGCTAACAGCAATAGTTCCCCTAAACAGGTAGTGGGACAGTGTACTTCTTGATTTGGAAGTTATGTAACCTTACCCACATTTTGAAGTTTTCTAACCCTGTCTTTCGGTCAATCAGAGATCAAGTCAAAATTCAGAGTCACAGAAGGTGCAAAGGTATTTGAAAATGTTCCGAAGAATTATTGGTAAGTGTTTGGGTTTGGGTTTTTTTTAAGCCAACCTTGGGATTTTTTGGAGTTTACTAATCCTTTCTGAACTCCCTCTTGACAAAATACAAATGGAGAGGATAGAAAATCATAGAATCATAGAATCATAGA